AAAAAAAAAAAAAAAAGTGGCCCAGTTCTCTGTACAGTCAAAATTCAGTTGTTCAGTTCATGCTGGACTGTTCTCTTTTTTTTGAGTTGGAGTCTCACTCTGTTGCCCAGACTGGAGTGCAGTGGCCACTCCCGGCCACCGCAGCCTCGACCCGCTGGGCTCCGGCGATCCTTCCACCTCAGCCTTCCGAGTAGCCGGAATTACAGGCGCGCGCTACCACGCCCGGCTGATTTTTTGATTTATTGTAGAGATGAGGTCTCGCTGCCCCGGTGGGTCTCGAACCCGCGGGCTCAGGCAATCCACTCACCTCAGCCTCCCAAAGGCGCGGGATTACAGGCTGAGCCACTGAGCCCGGCTCTGGACTGTTCATTATTGCAATAGTACTGTGCATTAAAATCTGACTTTACTACTTTTATTAGTGTCTGGCTTTGTTTTTCGTTAGCAGTAACCAATACTTAAAACATTCTCATTAATTCATTTCATTCATTTTTTTCAACTAATCAGCAATTTTTTAAAGGCAGGAACTCACTCTTTAGCCCAGTGTCGAGTGTAGTGGCATAATTATAGCTCACAGCTTCAACCCCCTAGACCCAAGTGATCCTTCCACCTCAGCCTACCAAGTACCTGGGACAACAGGCACGTGCCACTATGCCTGGCTAATTTTTATTTTTTGTAGAGACAAGGTCTTGCTATGTTGTCCAGGCTGGTCTCAAACTCCTGGACACGAGAGATCCTCCCGCCTCAGTCTCCCAAAGTGCTGGGATTACAGGCATGAGCCACTGTGCCCAGCCAATACATTTTTATTTTTATTTTATTTATTTTTGAGACTGGATCTTGTTATGTTGCATAGGCTTGTCTTGAACTCCTGAGGTCGAGTGATCCTCTCATCTCAGCCTACTGAGTAGTTGGGACTACAGGCATGTGCCACCATGCCCAGCTTCCACAAATCTTTTTTGAAGATTTTCAGTGTGCCAGGTGTTATGTGCTATGTGTTAGGGATAAAGATAACATGTCCTTTGCTATTGAGGAGCATTGAGCCTAGAGAATAAGTAGATGTATAATTACTCTTCAATAAGATAAGTTTTCTCACAGAAGAATGTACACTCGTTAGACATGTAAACAAGGAAAGTGGTTTGCATATTTTTGTTTTCCTACTCTAGCCATTTCTTTTCTGTCTTCTCTTCCTCCTCCTACCTCTTAAAAGTAGGTGTTATCTACAAACTGACCTTTGTTCCCTTCTCATGCTATAGTCTCCTGGCAATCTTATAGCTCCAACTCTCAAAGTCTTTGCACCTTGCTCTTTTTTTTTTGATCTGGAGACTCACTCTGTTGCTCAGACTGGAGTACAGTGGCACGCTCCTGACCACCGCAGCCTCGACCTGCTGGGCTTAAGTGATCCTTCTGCCTCAGCCTTCCGAGTAGCTGGAACTACAGGCATGTACTACCACACCTACCTTATTTTTGATTTATTATAGAGATGGCGGTCTCACCAAGTTGCCCATGCTGGTCTCAAATTCCTGAGTTTAGGCAATCCTAATCCTCTTGCTTCAGCCCTCCAGAGTGCTGAGATTACAGGCTTGAACCGCTGCGCCTGGCCATCAATGTTTTAAGGCACCAAGTTTTGAGGTAATTTGTTATATGACAGTAGGTAATACACCAGATGAATCTGCTTGGCTCTGAAGTTCATGCTTTTCACAATTTTTTTTTTTTTGAGTAGAAGTCTCATTCTGTTACCCAGGCTGGAGTGCAGTGACGCGCTCACAGCCACTGCAGCCTGGACCTGCTGGGTTCAGGCGATCCTTCCACCTTAGCCTTCAAAGTAGTTGGAACTACAGGCATGCACCACCATGCCTGGCTAATTTTTTTTTTTGGGGGGGGGGAGTTATTGTAGAGATGAGCTCTTGCCAAGTTGCCCAGGCTGGTCTCGAACCACTGGACTCAGGCAATCCTCTCACCTCTGCCTCCCAAAGTGCTAGGATTATAGGTGGAAACCACTGAGCTTGGCTTTTTTTTGAATGGAGTATCACTTTGTTGACCAGGCGGGAGTGCAATGGCATGCTCACAGCCACCAAAGCCTCGACTTGCTGGGCTCAGGCAATCCTTCTGTCTCAGCCTTTTAAGTAGCCAGAACTACAGGTGTGCGCCCCCGTCTTACGTTAATTTTTAAAAACATTTATTTTAGAGACTGGCCTCACCAAATTGATCAACTGGTCTTGAAACCCTGAACTCAGATAATCCTCTTGCTTCTGCCTCCCAAAGTGTTGGGATTACAGGTGTGAGCCACTATGCCCGGCTCGTCACAATTTTATTAGGTTGCTACTCTGTGTCCATGTGCAGAATGACTTTCCATCCCTCATTGTATGGTCTCTGCATAGGAAAAGCTCTGGTTCCGTAAGAGTTCTATTGTTATCTTTAAACTCAGTTTCAGAATCCAGCAATTCAAATTTTTTTTAGTCCCTTGCTCTTGTGAATTAGGACAGTGGGGATAAATTGCTAGGTATTCCAATTTCCAGCAGCCTAGGGGATGCCCATTGTCTTTGGTGTCAGGGATCTCTATAGACTATGCTGGCTGAGTTGCCCTTCTCAAAATCAAATACATACTGGAAAGATCATGTCTTCTCCTTTCCTTCTCTAGGGTCCTAAGTATAACATTTTGAGTATCACTCTCTCATAAAACTTATTCCAATGAGAGGTATCATATGTTAGCTAGGTTTGCTTTTGGACAGCAAAGACCCTGTTAGATAAACAGACCCTTTCTCATCTGGCAGGTAGAATTCTATGGGGTGAAGAGCTTGTAAACAGTGAAACCTGAGCTGGGCTAATAAGGCCTTAGAAAGCACCCAGTCTAGTGGTGTTCAACTCTGGCAATTCATTTGAATCATCTCGGGAACTTAAAAAATAATAAGACACTTAAGATCTACTCCAAACCATTGAAATAATAATTTGGGGTGGTGGATATATGTATTGCATTATGTATCTTCCTGCTTTCTGCTCTGGCCTTTTTCAGTGCCTTACATGGGCATGCATCATCTTACCATTAAGTCCTCTGCTTCAAATGCCTCTCTTTCATCCTCAGGCGATCCTTCTGCCTCAGCTTTCCAAGTAGTTGTAACTACAGGCACGCACCACCACGCCCGGCTATTTTTTTGTTTTATTGTAGAGATGAGATCTGGCCAAGTTGCACGGGCTCATCTCGAACCCGTGGGTTCAGGCAGTCCTCTCACCTCGTCCTCCCAAAGTGCTGGGATTATAGGCGTGAGCCACCGTGCCCAGCCAGCCAGTAATATTTATGAACTGATTACAATATTCTAGGCACTATTCCAGACACTGGAGTTACAATGATGAGCATGAAAGTAGGTCTAGATAAGAACTGAGGTTTCCAGACATTGTGTTTACCCATTTTTGTCTTTAACTCTAGTTGCTAATTACAATTTACTTTGCTGTGTGGTATGACCTTGTTAAATTACGGGCAAGTACCCTGTCAGCTGTAAGGGTTAGACTCTTTAAGGAAGTCGAGTGGAAATTCTTCAATGAAAAGAATCTGTTCCTGGGTGGAAGCTCCGCCCACGCGGGGAGGAGCGGAGGGCTTCAATTCTCGTCTCACACAGGTGAGAGGAAGCCCCTCCCATCCCCTCTTTAAGACTTATTAGTGGGCGGAGCTGTGTTCAGTCTCGCACGTAAGGAAAGCGGAAGGCGACCCCGCCTCCTACGTGCTAGTGAGGGGGCGGGGCTGGTGAATTGGGCGTGAGCTGATTGGCCGTGGGGCGGGGCACCACGGGTGGGCCCCGCCCAAGCACTCGCACGGATCCCGGGTGGAGTGACGGGAGGGAGTCCCAGCTGCTCTTGCTTTCCAGCGATGGCGCCGCGGGGCCGCGCCCAGTCCCCCACCTGCCGGCCGGTGCTCGCCGCTATCCCGAGCTCTCTCAGACGGTGAGAACTGAGGGCAGTTCTGAGGGAGCAGCGGAACACCGCCTGCGACCGGGACCATGAGGAGCGGCCAGACCCGTGGGGCCGATAGCGGGAACAGCCACGGCGCCTGCTGAGAGGAAAAAGAGGGAGCGGCCCGGTGCGGCGGCGCGGCGGGGGCGCGGCGGAGGCTCGCCCGCGCCTCAGCGATGTCCCTGCTGTGCGTGCGCGGTGAGTGCGCGGACCCGGGTGGGCAGGCGGGGTGTGGCGGAGGCTCCCCGCGCGCTTCCAGTGGGCGTCCGGCAACCTCCTCTCCCGAACTTCGCTTCCCATCTGTGCTTTAGGGGACGATTATGTTAACGGTCGCTGAGAAACGTTTGAAGAGTTCTTTCCTCTCTTTCTTGGTTTTCCACACGCTCCTGCAAGCGACTGTTACCTCTCCATTCCGGTAGCCATGTGATAATGTTGTTGGCCGGCGGGCCGAAATCCTATTAAACAGTGACTGAGGTTCTTCTCCTCTAGGGAGAGTGGACGGGCTGGGAGACCGCGGATGGTTGGTGCCTGTCAGTGGAGGGCAGCCTCCCTTTCTCTTCTTCCTTCTTGCACCGTACCACTGCAGACTGCCTAGTAGCAGATCCTTTTTATCACTCTTTGAACGTGTTAGTAGTGCAGCTGTCACATCCCCTTTTCCAGTGTCTTTCTTGACTTGCACCTCTCTATTGCCCGCCTTGCCCTGCTCCTTCTCTGAACCCTAACCTGCAGTCTAGGCTAAGATTATTTTCCTATTCCTCTTGGAAGGGTGTGGTGACTTCTCTCCTTGGAACAGAACATAAGAGGCATGATTTATTTGATTTTAGCTTCCATCACAGTAATTCAAGTTGAAGGGCTGTTATTGCTTTTTCCCTGAGGACACTTGACCCATCTAAGAAGATATCTTAAAGTACGAGCTTTGGGGTTTAAGATGAAGCAGTGTGCACGGTCTAAGCTCCACGTGGGTAGAGACTGTCTCTTGATGATTTTTGTATTCCCAGTGCCTGATAGAGTAGAAGCTCAAAGCTGGTTTTGAATGAATGCAGGGACTGTGATTTTAGCAAGATTATCTGATCAGAAGGACCAGAGTTTGGATTACCCATCCAATTTGATTTTGGGAAATTCAAGTTACAGCCTATCATATCTGTTGAACAAGATGGGATAAAGTAGCTTGATACTGAGTGAGAGAGCATTTGTCAAATAGAGCCTTCACCAGGGCCTTTTCCTGGCACCTTTTGCTGGATAGAGTTCTTGTTTCTTTTGGCTCTCCAGATTAGAAGCATTGTTGTTGTTTGTGATTTTTCTGATTAACAGTTTTCCCCAGCTGCTGGCAAACGGAACTGCTTTGCTCTGTTCTCTTCCACTGCTTTGTTAAATCTGCATTAACCCAAAATGGATTTGGCTGTTTCCGGGGATTATGAGACACTGTCTTTCTTCTTTCATGGTTGATTTTTCATTAGTGAAAATTTTGCTTTGCTTTTAGTAAGACATTTTCTCCCAGCAGCTGGGAATCTATTTATTCCTTTAGATCCCTGCTGCTGAGTAGAAGGATTTGGGGAGAGGTTGAGCTTTGCTATGTCTCTTGGACAGTTTAATTCTCTACTGCCACACCATATTACAGAGCTAGTTCTTATGAAAGACTGTTGAGGTAGTAGCACTCTTAAATCAGAAATTCCTGTTTAACTGAATTTAAATAACTTAGCTACAGCTGTCTTCATTTGTCCTATTAGCAGGCAGCTTTCATTGTCTAGAAATTTTGTTATTTAGCTAACCTCTTTCCCTTTTTTTTTTTTTTTTTGAGTTGGAGTCTCACTCTGTCGCCCAGACTGGAGTG